GACGCCCGCTTCAGGGCTGGCAGGGGGAGGAGGGCCCTGACACCCACTCCAGTTCACCCTGCCCGTGCTGCCCTCTAGGCCAGGCTGCTCACCCACTGCCTGGCTAGGTCCACCTTCTCGGAGCCCTTCCCCTGCCTCTGGCCTTGGAGGGTGACCCCAGGTGACCCCGGGTCACAGCTGGGTCCCTGGAGTCTGTCCTCAAGGGTTTAGACTCTGGAGAGCAGGCTTTTGTATCAGGGGCTCTAGGGAGTGAAACTCTGGCTTCTGGGCAACTCCTGCCAAGGGGGAAAGCTGGTGAGGATGCGAGTGGACATTGAAGGCATCTGAAAAGTGGGGTGGGGGGGGTCATGGGACAGTGTCTCCCCTTACTTGGCTGGTGGGGTCCAGTCAGGCAAGGCCAGGGCAGCCCTCAGCCCAGGGGCTGCACTGACGCAGTCTTGCAGGCAGCTGGAAGGCTCCCTGGTGCTCAGATTTCCCGGCTCCTCTGCTGCTTTGACCCAAGCCTTCACTGAGCCCATCTGCTCTGGGAGGTCACGGGGGGACGGAGCCACAGTGACCTGTCAGACATCACCCTGGTGGCTGTCACTGTGCATGCTGATCTGACTGCATGATGGCCCCCAGCACCCCACAGAAGGCCTGCAGGAGGCAGGCTGCTTTCCAGGCACTCTGACTCTGACGCCGCCTCGGTGTCCAGCGCCCGCTCCTCCGCTGCGTGTTCCTGCCTCTGTGCTCCAGGCCCTGAGCCCGTCCGCAGCTGGGAGTGGGCGAGCGGGCCTGGGGTCAAACAGAGCTGTCAGAGCGCCCAGAGGTGTATGACCCTTCAGGCTGTCCCCACGCTGGGGTCTGAGAGGCCGTGGCGCGGAGAGTCGCCTGCCTGCCGTGCCCTCGCAGACGGAGGATGCGTAGAAGGACACGGACGTGGCAGAGATGCTTCTGGGCGCAGCTGTGCCCTGGGACCCTCTCCTCCTGGGCACATGGTACGTGCCTCTCTGTCCTCTCTGCCTCGTGCCTTCCTCCTTCCCTTTTTCTCCAGGAGGTCCACCCCCACTGCTCAGACCACGTCAGCTCCTCCGTGGACTAAACTACGGGCACGGTCCCCAGCTCTGCCTTTACTGGTCAGTGACCTTGGGCTGTTAGGCCATTCTTGGGGTCTCAGCGTCCTTATCTAATGGGCCTAACGGGGGTACCCACTTCAGGGTTGCTGTTGGCATTAGAGGACTTAGTGTGTGTGAAGTTTGTAGAATGATAACCTGCGCACAACAGGAACTGTGCAGACATCCACCATGTACACAGTGGTCCTGTGAGTAATTTCTAATGCCTTTCACTCCAAAGGAAATGGGAATTTTTCTGTGGTATCTGCTGAGCATGTTGAATGAGCCAATGAATGAAAGTGGCCACAGAGAGGCCAGTTCACACGGGTTTCCTGCCAGTGGCGGCACATTTTGGCCACTCACTCTGAGCGGACACAGGGCTGCTCTTTGCTGTGAGCGGCTGTCACCCTCTTGATGCAGGATGTCCACACGTGGAGAGAGATGCTTCGGGAGGAAAAACAGCACACGGACACCAGAGTGTCCTGGGATATCTTAAGGGAGCACTCACGGATCCCTCTGCTGTGTGTTGGCTTCTCTGCGGGCTTCTGGCTGCCCGAGAGGCAGGTCATCCCCACGCTGTCCTTTCAGAGATGAGGAGGCTCAGCATCGGGCAGGCGGGCACAGCTGCCGGGCACAGAGCTGGTGGGAGGCGAGGTCCGTCCGTCTCCCACATGCTTCCTGCTTCCCGCAACGCCCTGCCTCCCTCTCTCCCATGATCATTCTCGTCACCTGCATGGAGTCCTGCCCGGAAAGTTTGAGGAGGGCAGCCAGACAGTGCCTGGGACAAGCCAGGAGTTCCCACTCTGGAGGAAGGGCCTAGAAGGACGGTGAGACCGTGCTTAGGTGAAGAGCTTCATGGACCTCTGCTCCCAAGAGTCCAGGGTCGGCAGTCCCAGCGGGAAGAGAAGTGCTCCTCCAGAAGGGAAGGGAAGGGGAGCTGAGCCTCTCGGCTCTCCTAGTCCCCCTCCCTGCCTGTCCCCTCCCCTCCCCTCCCCTCCCCTCCCCTCCCCTCCCCTCCCTACATTCCTTCCTCCCTTTCTCTTCCTCTTTCTTTCCGTCTTTTGCTCACTCTTTCATTTTCTTTCCTCCTTCCTTCCTTCTTGCTCTTTCTTCCTCTCTCCCTCTCTCTGGCTGCGTAAAGCCACGTGATGGTGTGACTCTGCTCCTGAGATTCCAGAAAGGGATAAGTCATGCCGCTTGTTTAACTCTGCTCTGAAGGACCATCAATCACCTGCTAAACAAGTGCCCGCCTGCAGTGCGCTGACCTCATTAAACCCTCTGACAGCTCCTCCGGCCGCACACATCACAGATCCTCCTCCCTTAGTCATTTCCAAAGTGCATTTAGTGCTTGTGGAAGGAGCTGTCTTAGACCACCAACTCTCTCAGCGAACGCAGCACCTCCTCGGGCTGTCTTGGCAGCACGCTGGCGTTGCGTAGCTGGATTTGAACCAAGGGCTCGGGGACTACAGGCTCATTATTCTTTTCCTGAACCATCGACGGCTCCTCACATTGTGTTTCTGTGGTTTTCTCCACCAGAAATGCATACAGTAATTGCTAAAAAAGCCACCCTTTTAAAATAGTGTTTAAATGGGATGAGATGTCACAAATGGAAGGAATTCAAAGATGTCCTTTGAAATAGGAATCTGAGGGGCAGAGTCTTCCTCTGTGAAGGTTCAGCCAACCAGTCGTGGTCTGCGGAGCTGTTTACTGCCGTCCACACTCGTGTTTCTAGGCCCCTTTTGCTGCACTTCCATCCTGGAATGTCACCTGCAAATTCTTCAGCAAATTCTTCAGCAAATTCTTACCTCCAGAAAAACGTAGTGGAAGAAAAGAGTGGCTTTGTGGTTCTGGGTTCCTGGATTCCACTTTGCATCGCGGCTTTGCCATGAGGAGCACGGTGTTCAGCTGGCCCCGGGTCCTGGAGGACAGGGTACCGGGGAGCCAGGGCAGGGAGGGCGGGGAGGTCTTTCTCTCCAGAGGCAGCTGGACGGGAAATCAGTGCCCCACTGGCCTCACCCCCCAATCCTGTGCAACAAAATATTTGGAGTGGACTATCAAGGGACCCTTGGTGCTGTGTTAAAATTATTTCCACCTCTTAAGAACAAGGTAGAATTAACTTCATGTGGATTTAAGTGAACACTGGTTGAGTCTGGAGGGGTGGCTGATGAGAAAGCCACGAGACTGGTTGGTTCAGAGAGAGACAGGACGCCTGAGGGAGGGGATCTACACTTTCTAAATGTTGCCTTCAGACCTCAGCCGCCCATCACGTTATGAACCAGCAGCTTGGAGACTTCAGGCCCTAGATTACAAAAATATTATCTTAATTCAATTGAGACACTCCCTGGGGGTGGGGGTGGGACTTCCAATTATTATTTGGGATGTTTGAATTTAGCTCAGAATAGTCAAACCTACATAGTTGTATCCAGAAATATTATCGAAATATTGTCATTTCTCAGTCAGCACAAAAAAACATTTTTTGAGTCACAGACTGCAGAAACACATGATAAAAACAAATGGATGACTAAGAAACTTAAGCCTGTTAACGAATCTGGATTTGTAGAGAGAGGGTGCGAAGGGAGAACCAGGCAAAGCGGGATCCTGGAAGCTCTGAGCGGCCCCACAGGGAGCCCGCTTTGTGTCTCTGGGGATTCTCACCAGACGGAAAGCCCTGTGGTTTGCTCCCGGAAAGCAGGTGATGTTTCACTGTGTGGTACCAGCCACCGCTGGGAAGCTGTGCAAGTAGATGGGCCAGGAAGATCCTGCTCCTTTTCATCTATCAACCAGGCTGCATTTCCAAGGGCCTGTGGTCCAGGCGTTCTGGAGGAGCAGCCTGGATGGGAGGGGGCCGTGGCTCCTGCGGACCCACTCAGGCCACATGAGAGTTCGCTGGGGAGTCTTGCTGCTTCCTGCAAACCTGCTGACTACGCCCGGCTGAGAGTGTGGGGGCCGGCCCTGCAGTGCCTCTTCCGTCAGTGTTTGGGGAGGGTGAGCCGTGCCCTGAGTTATGCCCTGTCCGTCAGGACCTCTGGCCACAGCCAACTGCTCGGGCATTTCCCACTATAGAACTGTCATGCTTCCAAGACCAATGTCCTAAAGTTTATATCTTTAGTATAAATGCGGATCTGCATGTCAAATTCCAAATTGAAAAAACGAACAATGAATTTCAAGTTTTACTCCATGAGATGTTTTATCTGCATAGTCTAGCCTTGCATACGACTAGGGTAATTCTGAATGACTCCTGGGTGGAATGTTCTGAAGTGGATGGGTAGATAAACTCCAGATGAATGTGGGACAGGACTTCTTTCTTCCTTGGAGTAGGTGTAATGACGATGAGGTGAAAATCTTGCTGCCGTAACAGGGTCCATTGAAGAAGATAGGACAGCACCCCTATTCATAACATGAACCTTTTGGGGCAACATGCTGTTATAAGTTACTGAGTTTAACGTTCTATTTCCTGTTCTCCCCTTATGAAAAAATGGTTCCTCAGTTTTCCATAAGTCAGAATTCAGCTAAAGCTAGGGTTTTTATTGATCTTTAGTTGCAGAACTTCTTACTGCCTTTTAAAAGTTTTTTAAAAATCTAATTCACTCTATTACCCCCACATGATGTATGTTAAAAAGGTTCTTATGATATTTTTCAGGTGAAGAAGCTGCTGTATTTCATACCTAGAGGGTCTCACATGCATCATGAGCCAGGCAGCCACAGAAGGAGGAGCTAATATCATTTCCTAGTTTTGGGCTGTGGTTTCAGATGACAGAGTCACCTAGGGGGTGATGGGGTAGCTTGTATACATTAACTAGAAAGCGACAAACCCTGCAAATTAATCAGAATGGAATAAAATCTGCGTTAACAGTTCGTGGTGACCATCTGAAAGCCAAGAATAATGTCACCCCTATTGTCCCCTTTTAGGTTCCGTAAATGAAAAAGTTCCCCAGAGGGAAGGCACAGGAAAAACAGGTAACTATCTTAAAATGAACTTCCTTGGTGTTTTTTGACAGCGAATCCGATCTATGCCTTAAAAGAGCCTCTCAAGTTAAAACGTCAGCGTATATCAGTGACAGTGATATATGAGAACTGAAGCAATCTGTTAATTATTATTTATTCAGCAAATGTTTATTCAGCCCTTACGATTGCTGGGACCTTGCAGGTGCCGGGCACGTGGCCCGCTGGGTGACCCACTTGTGTCCATGTCAGGCCTTCTCGGGGCTTGTGTTGGGACTACTTGAGGATGGAGTTAGCATCATCTTGGGTCCACACCTGGGCAGGGGACTCCGGGGCTGGCACGAGGCTCTAGCATAGCAGTTGAGGGGGGCACTGATCGGGACATGTCCGCTGCTCCTCGTAAGAAAGAAGGGGCTTTTTCCATCTATGACAGTCACCTCTTCGGGGATCAGTGCCCATGAGAACCAGATGGAATAGCGAGCGTTTCCTTTGGAAATCACCTTGCAGATCCATCTCTGCTGGCCACGGCCTTTGCCCTTTCCTCAGCTGGCATGGGCTCCCCTGGGGGCTCAGCTGGTGAAGAATCCGCCCGCAGTGCAGGAGACCTGGGTTCCATCCCTGGGTCGGGAAGACCCCCTGGTGGAGGGAAAGGCCCCACACTCCAGTATTCTGGCCTGGAGAGTTCCATGGAATACAGTCCGTGGGGTCGCAAAGAGTCAGACACGACTGAGCGACTTTCACTTTCACTTTTCAGCTGTTACCTGTTAGTCCCAGTGACACATTTTCTGTTTTCATCTGATATCAATCTGTGAATTCAGAATTTATTTTTAAGATGAAAGAAAAATAATGTATTATTATCTTGGGCTACCACTTCCCAGGCTAGTGGTAAAGAACCTGCCTGCCAATTCAGGAGACGTAAGAGATGTGGGTTCAGTCCCTGAAGAGGGAAGATCCTCTGGAGGAGGCCATGGCAACCCCCTCCGGGATTCTTGCCTAGGAAATCCCATGGACAGAGAAGCCTGGAGGGCTGCAGTCCATGGACCGCAAAGAGTTGGACACGACTGAAATGACTTAGCACACATGCTCCCATCTTAGGCACTTAGGGAGAGGGTTTCTGTTTAGGAAGGAAGGAGTTGTGATTGCACAGTGTTGGGGATTGAGTCTCTGAGATGCTGGGGGACATGCTGCTGTATCTTAGAGAAGGGGAAGTGTAAATGTTCATGGTTAGAAACAATAATCAAATACTGAAAGAATGACAGAGAGAAACAATTTCAGGGGCTCCCTCAATCCTGCTCATGGTGATATAGGTCGATTCCACTGTGGGTGTATTTTTTTAATCCCTCGGGAATTGGCCTGTGGGCTCAGAAACGGATTTAAGGGAAGAACACATTGCTTCTACTGAAGCCCCTTGATCTATAGATATGCCTGTCAGGGGAAATACCAAAAACAAGTAGCAGAGCTGGTTTACCGGAGAAGTGGGATATTTGGCAGGCTGTCCTGGAGGCACAGTGAAGGGCACTGGGCTGTCCGTGGCTTTACATCATTGTCTGAAGCTGAGCCCGGTCGGTGCGGAGGCGCCTCACACCGGGACAGGCTCTCGGGGGGGCCTGAGCAGGATGCTGGGTGCAGAGGGTCATGCTGCAGTGGGCTGAGGGCTGAGCAGGGATGTGGGGGCCTCTGCTGTTGGCACTGGGGTGGGGGGTGGAAGGCACCCATCCTCATCCCTCAAGGACAAGCCCTTCTCGCCTTGATTCTCAGCTGAGAACTCAGACTGGTCCAGACCCAGGGGTTAGGGCTGCTGGCCCCTAAGGGGTGACCTGCTCCGGCCTCAGCTAAAATGTACAGCTTTAACTGTGTCCTTGATGGATGTTAATTGTGGCCTTGGTGGACATTCACTGTCCTTGATGGCTGTCATTCAGAGGACCTTCAGTATGCAAAGACATTTTCTCACTTACGTTCTGTTAAGACTCTCAAATATGTTAAATGTTTTAAATATGTTCCCCATTTTATTCTTGAAAGAAGATTACAGAATATTTAGTAGGAAAATACTCGAGTTTATTGCTGCTATCATTATTAGACTTGGATATTTCAAATCAAGCTACATCTAGTCAGTATTTTGACAGATGGCGAGATTTTTTCTCACGACATTGTTAAAGAATTCTTAAAATACTCTCTTTTGGTTTTCCCCTGGAAAGAACTTATGGGAAACCTGTTTCCCTCTTTGGGTTGCTGGGGTCCTGATGAGTCACAGTCCGCTAGATCAGCCACATGGCCACCCCTCCTGTGTTACCGCTCGGCGAATTGTGATCCTGAAGTTATTAAAAAAGAAAATCACACCAGTAGACAAGCCTGGGGGAAAACACCAGGATGGTTCTCAGGAGCACCCCCCAGTGTGCACTGTTAGGGTGTTGCTGACTGGGGGCTCCTTGTCCGGGGGCTTCTAGGGGCTTGGTTACCAAAGCACCCAAAGGGTACTTTTCAACTAATTCAATGAAGACTGTATCCTTGGGATAAGGTCCTCAGCAAATGGTACAGAGTTTGCTGACTCATTCCCCTCCCCCTGAACTCAGGCGCTTCCCCCTGTCCCACGATGCCATCCCTTACCCGACCCCCACCCCCACTTTGCAGGAGGCCTGGGTCTACTGAGAGACCTGCGGGGCACCATCCAGGCCCTGGTCTCCGGCCCAGCCTTCCATTCAGAAACCCAGGGCAGAGCAGGGGTCAGGCCCCCCCCCCGCCCCGAGACCCCCCCATTGCTGCCGCCCGCCCCTCGCCCACTCAGGGGGCTCCCAAGGTTCCCACCCGTTGTCTCCCCCACCCCACGGGGTTGTTTGGCGCCACGCGTGTCTGTTCTTTTGCGTCTATGGGTGCCGCGTGCTGGGTTGTGGTTTGGTGGATCGTGGGGTGTATGCTATCCGGAGGGTCCAGCCTCTATGCACACTTACTTCACTTACTCTCATAATTGTAGTCTCCTTGCAAATCTTTTCCGTTCTGAATTCAGATGATGCCTCAGCTCCAGCGCTGGAGACTCAGCCTCAAGGAGACGAAGAAGGTGAGTGCCCACGGGGAGCCGGGTGGGGTGCTGCGGGCCTGGGGGCGCGTCACGGCCTTGTGCTCAGACTCGCCTGGGACGGGCTGGGTTTGCCTCTTCCAGCTTTACTTTCGAGGCCTCGTGTCCCTGCTGAGAGCCTCCACGAGTGCCGTGGGACTTTCACACAGCACATGCAGAGGCGAAATCTCTGAGCTGACATTTTGTCACCTGGATAACATGAAGGATGTATTTCCAAAGCTGCAAAAACATATGCGGTTTCCCCGCTTATCCTCCACATCATGTGATTATCACACATATGGTGCCTGAGACCAGCCTTGTAAAGTGGCAAAGATGCGTCTCAGGCTCATTAAGTTTGCGTCATGGGAACGATGGCTTTCCTACTCCTGGCCTTGAACACACTGTTGTAGCTGTTTGCCTCTGTGTTACCCATTCTCGGGGCAAAAGGGATCAGGCCTGAAGGCCAAGTGTAAGGAGCGTACATAATACATAAATCGGAGCTCAGAAGTGCTTTGCAAACAGCAACAGTGATAGTCATGATAACTGACTTCTGTCTGGCACCGGATGCCACGCGCTCTATCACCAGGGCTCACCAAGCCCTTGTGGCCCCATCTCACAGATGACAGTCGTCTGAGATCACAGGGCCCGCAGGTGACGAGGATGCCTCTGGCCAGCTGGTGGGCCTCAGCGTGGTTCTCGGGCGAGTGGTATCCAGACCACACTGTAAATGCTAAAATCACTCAAATGCAGATTGCATCTGTTACTGTTACTACCACAGGTTTGTTCCCAGATGTTGTAGGCAAAATTGTGTTTTACATGCAATTCGTATGTAAAGATTCGTACTGAATCTCGGGCTTCACTGGTGGCTGAACAGTAATGAATCTGCCGGCAGTGCAGGAGATGAGGGGTTCAGTCCCTGGGTTGGGAAGATCCCCTGGAGAAGGGGTTGGAAACCTACACAAGTGTTCTTGCCTGGAGAATCCCATGGCGGAGGAGCCTGGCATGCTACGGTCCATGGGGTCGCAGAGTCGGACATGACCTAGTGGCTAGAACAGCACCGCACGTTGCATCCCTCACCTGAGTGAAGACCTTGTGTGTTACCCAAGCATCGAGCTTCACCACACAAGGGTGTGTTTTTGTACTTTGGGGCTTTTTGCTAAAACCTCTTTCTTTCTAGTGGAAACTGTATGGACTCACATAGCTTTTGTTTGAACTTTTGGATGAAGAAAGAAAGAAAAGACATTTGCTAAAGCTTTTCAGAATGCACATTTTCATTTCCCTTTGTTTCATGCACATAAATATTTTACATTTTTTAAATGTATAATGTGTATTTACTGATCATACTTACTTTTTTGGGCGTTTAGGTTGCCTGCTGAAATCTTTGAGAGACTTTGTATTTTCATGATGAATTAAAATAACTATTGTTTTATTTTGGTTCAATAGATGTTGCATCACGGTATCCCACACTTTGGACTGAACAAGTTAAAAGTCGACAGAACAAAACCAATAAGAATTCAGGTAAAAGGGGGACCTATATGACTGAGTTAACAGACCCAGAAAGTGGCCTTGTTTTCTGGAAGTTACCTGCAGAGCACATATTTTTCTCTGCTCACCAATGAGTCATGCAAATAATGCTGTGGTTTGCCCATCAGAATATAGTTCAAATTTGGGTGTTTTATTAAATTTGCTAAGTTGTAGAACATATTATAGAATTTTTAAGTTTTTTCTCAGAAATTAATGCATTTTCCTATTGCATAAAGACATTAACCTGTACATTTCTCTTACAAACTTTAGAAAATGAGTTAGTTTTGTACAATCTTGTCACTCTATTTCCAAAGGTTATGTAGTTTGGTTTGCTTCTGTGCATATAGATCAGTGCATGGGAAATTAATTCAAACATTGAAAGCTTCAGATTTACTGGTGGATCTTGAAATCCTCTCTGGGAGAATTAGTGTGACAGTACTTAATTTGAGAAACAAATGTAAAAGTGTCATTTGAAATGTACATTAAAAAAAAAACAATTTTAATTGTCAGTGGGAAGCTGTTTGGGGTTTGACAGAGTTAGTTCCATTTAAGTTCATAGAACAAGTGCATTTGTGTTTTACCCATCACCTACTGTTACCAGATTTTCAAGCTTATGTGACCTGTCAATCATGATTAACTAGTAAAAACACTGCAGACGTTCAGTATTTAGTGGGACTGAAAAGAATGTTTCAGGAAATTCTAGTTTACATAAGTTATCTTACACTATAATTTGATTTAAATCAGCCTAAATGTATAGAACACAAAACAATGAAATTGATTTATAGCCACGGGGCATGAAATTATGGGATTATATCTGTGTTTAATATCCCAGTGTCCAGGAACGTGTTCTCAATGAGGGTCTGAATAAAGTCAGCCCTAGGTGGTATTTTAAGATGTTAAATATGTATTTACTTTATTAAGTTTAGTGATGAAATGGCAAACAGTCATTGGTTTTATGTAATGACCACCATTGTCATTGAGATTTCAGTGTCAGGAGAGTTTCATTTGCGTTTAACTTAAAAGATAATTCTACTGAAAATCTTCTTTGGTAGAAGGGGACACATTTACTTAACAAATAATTTGTGACTCTTTGTTATTCCATGTTTTTAAAAATTTGTGTTGCTTCTCTGTACTGTTTTCATTCATTTATAGAAGAAGCCACACAGAAAATGCTTTGCTTTTTTCTCCAATGTTTCTCTACATCAGTTGAAAGTACTGTTTCTGCTCCCAGAGTTAGAACTAAAATGACAGAATAATACCTGTGTTACCAAACGCAGGAGCACAGCCACGCAGAGTGCGGGCTGCCCTGAGGATGTGGTCACTGTGGTTCGGGGCATAAAGTGAGAGTCGTTTTGGGGAGGGACCTTTTTACAGAGGAAGCAAAGTACTCCGAGCCTACGGAAATTTGCTCATGTAGGCCTCAGTAAATGTTTATTCATGTGTTCCATGGCCACTTTGATGTTATCATCGCTTTTTTATCTAAAACTAAGTGAATCAAGGGGTTTCCCATGTGGCTCAGTGGTAAAGAATCCACCTGCCAATGCGGGAGACTGGGTTCAACCCCTGGGTGGAGAAGATCCCCTGGAGAAGGGAATGGCTACCCACTCCTGTTTTCTTGCCTGGAAAATCCCGTGGACAGAGGAGTCTGGCAGGCTACAGTCCATGGGGTTGCAGAGTCGGACACGACTTAGCGATTAAAGAACAAGTGAATCAAAAAATAAACAAATGCATTAATAACTGAAAAATTGATTTAGTCTAAGTAACATACAGTTTCTCTGCTGAACTTTTAGTAATTGAAATTCAATATAAGCATAAATGAAATATTCCTCTGTTGGTTCGTTTTGCAGGAAAAGTATCACTTTCATTTTTCAACCCAATGTACATGAGTGAGTCAAACCTAAAATTGTGTTTTACTTGGGAATGCATTACTCAATTTCTTTCTGTTAATATATAATTGGGAGTGTCCATATATTTCTTCATGCTCTTGAATCACCTTCTCATATTCAATTTTATCATTCTACTTACAGAAGTTACAAAGGTTGATTACAAAGTGTTACCAAATAAGAGATATTGTGACATACTGTTTAATTATTTAAAATGAACTTATGTCTCTATGTGTTAAGCCCACACTCCTTCCCTGCGGTGCATTAACTGCTTCCTGGATTTCTGCCTGATTTCCCTTAACCCGTCTAGAATATTAAAGCGCAGCGCACTGCTTGGTTGGTTGGCCCGGTAGTGATAATGACAGAGGCGCTACCATCTCTTGGGCTCACCATGGGCACGCACCGCTCACGCGTGGCTGCGCCTGCGTCCTGCTCGGCGGGCAAGAGCCAGCGGGGCCGCTGCGGGTCCTGCCTCGGTCCATAGAGGAGGGCATGGCCACACGCAAGGCAGCGGGTGCTTGCAGAGCCCCTGAGCGCAGGACCCGAGGGCCGTCCGGCCTGCCCCAGCCTGCCCTCGCCACTGTACCGCGGGGGCAGGACGCCTCCCGCTCCCACGGGGACTGGCCCTGGTCACGGCACGCCTGTGCGGCCCTGGAGCCCTGAGTTCAAAGCCGTCGTCACACGAGGGCCCGGCGCAGAGAAGGCTGGGCTGGGAGGGACACAGGGGTCTCCTCCGGCGCCTGCTGACGCTCCGGTCCCCCCGCCTCCCTGCTTCTCATCTCCTTGCTCTTTGCCTCCAAGACCATTCTTCCCGGCCTCGTCCTCAGCCTGCGCTGCCTCACCTGCACTCATTCCCTGTCCTGCTCCTGGGGCTGTGCTCTCTGCTGTTCAAACATTCTCGGCCCTCGGTCACCCCTGGGTCTTCTCGGACCCCAGCGCTGGGCGCGCAGACCTCCTCATCCCTGCTCCTAGCACGTGCCTACCTGCACGCGTCCACCCGCCCCATCCGCTCATGTCTATCTGCCCGCCCGCATGAGTCTACCCGCCCCCCGCACGTGTCTACCCCCCACCCATACGTGTCCACCCGCCCCCCCCCGCATGTGTTCACCTGCCCCCCCACACGTGTCCACCTGCCCCCCACACACATGTTCACCCACCCCTCCCCCCCAGCACGTGTCCACCCACCCCACCTGCACGTGTCCACCTGCCACCTCTGTATGCAGCAGACACCCTCCCTCTGGGCGCATGCTCAGCATCACTCCTGTCTGCTCCTGGCTGTTGTGCTGTGTAGACCTGCCCTTGTGACCGGGTTCCCCACAGCCTGAGTTGAGGCCGCCCCCAGATCCCCAGCGCAGGGTGGGGGCGGCGGGGCCCCTCCCTCAGCCTGGCAGAGAGGGGAGGCGGCCCCTTCTAGATGGACGGGGGTCCCTGCAGCCCACTTCCTCTGCTCGCTACCGCCCAGCCGCGTCGGCGTCCCCCCCAGAAGGTCCCCGCATCCAGCCTGATGGTTCCCTGCCTGTCCAGTGGGCCCCCCGGCGCCCCAGTCTCTTGGCCAAGCCCGTCGCTGCTGGGAAGGCATTTTGTGGATGAGAGTCGCGCTCAGATGAGGGGCTTTGAGTCAAGGAGCCCCCCTCCCCCTCGAAGGGCTCACCCAGCAGGTCCCCGGCATGGCCTGTGGGGCGGCAAGTGGGGCCGACTGTTTATCTTCTCCGTTAGGAAGGAGCCGAGGGCGCTCTGTCTTCTCCTTATTTACTTCACATGAATAACTCACAGCACAGCGGGCCTGTCCCCCTGTGTGGACCCTGCGGTGCTGCAGGCAAGCGGGGTTCTGCAGGTCGCAGGGCCCCCGGCCCCGGGGCAGCATGCAGGGCAGGGCCGCCCCAGGGTCTGCCTGCTCTGGGAGAGGAGGTGCTCCTGACGTTGCCTCCCATCCAGCCGCACGTCTCCCTGCCTCCCATCCAGGCCCACGTCTCCCTGCCTCCCATCCAGGCCCACGTCTCCCTGCCTCCCATCCAGGCCCACGTCTCCCTGCCTCCCATCCAGCCGCACGTCTCCCTGCCTCCCATCCAGGCCTACGCCTCCCTGCCTCCCATCCAGCCGCACGCCTCCCTGCCTCCCATCCAGGCCCACGTCTCCCTGCCTCCCATCCAGCCGCACGTCTCCCTGCCTCCCATCCAGCCCCACGTCTCCCTGCCTCCCATCCAGGCCCACATCTCCCTGCCTCCCATCCAGCCGCACGTCTCCCTGCCTCCCATCCAGGCCCACGTCTCCCTGCCTCCCATCCAGGCCCACGTCTCCCTGCCTCCCATCCAGCCGCACGCCTCCCTGCCTCCCATCCAGGCCCACGTCTCCCTGCCTCCCATCCAGGCCCTCGTCTCCCTGCCTCCCATCCAGGCCCTCGTCTCCCTGCCTCCCATCCAGCCGCACGCCTCCCTGCCTCCCATCCAGGCCCACATCTCCCTGCCTCCCATCCAGGCCCACGTCTCCCTGCCTCCCATCCAGGCCCACGTCTCCCTGCCTCCCATCCAGGCCCTCGTCTCCCTGCCTCCCATCCAGCCCCACGTCTCCCTGCCTCCCATCCAGCCGCACGCCTCCCTGCCTCCCATCCAGCCGCACGCCTCCCTGCCTCCCATCCAGGCCCACGTCTCCCTGCCTCCCATCCAGCCCCACGTCCCCCTGCCTCCCATCCAGCCCCACGTCTCCCTGCCTCCCATCCAGGCCCACGTCCCCCTGCCTCCCATCCAGCCCCACGTCTCCCTGCCTCCCATCCAGGCCCACGTCTCCCTGCCTCCCATCCAGGCCCACGTCTCCCTGCCTCCCATCCAGGCCCACCTCTCCCTGCCTCCCATCCAGCCCCACGTCTCCCTGCCTCCCATCCAGGCCCACGTCTCCCTGCCTCCCATCCAGCCCCACGTCTCCCTGCCTCCCATCCAGCCCCACGTCTCCCTGCCTCCCATCCAGGCCCACGTCTCCCTGCCTCCCATCCAGCCCCACATCTCCCTGCCTCCCATCCAGGCCCACGTCTCCCTGCCTCCCATCCAGGCCCTCGTCTCCCTGCCTCCCATCCAGGCCCTCGTCTCCCTGCCTCCCATCCAGCCCCACGTCTCCCTG